TTTTGTATATATTGATATATATTTTTTTTACAAAAGTAAGTAAACTCTAAATATTAAAACTTATTAGGTTGAATAAAAAAACTTAAATATGAAATATTTTTGCATCAAGTAATGTATGATGAAGATATTGTTACGGCAGCGGAAGTCACGTGATGCTGGAAGCATGTGCGCTGGAGTTTCTAGAAGGATCATGAGTGTTCCCGGCAACTCTAGTCTTTTCTAGGTGCCCTCTATTTTAGAATATAAGCCTGGCAAATAAAGCGAAGACATAATTGCAGATAGAGATACAGACAGATAATTGAGTCAAGTGAGCGGTAGTGATGGTAATATAAAGTGTGTGTTTTGTTATCGAGATTACAAATGTATTGACTGTGGAAATTCTGTGTATTATAAAGTTGTATCACTGAAGTTTCTCGGAAAGAATTTCTATGGGAAATTAACAAACGAACAGAGAGGTAACAATATATAGTTAAACTCTCAGTCCTCTCACTAGATGACTTATTGCTATTTACACATTGTTCTGTTTAAATTTCATTGCATCTAGTATTATAAGGACTTCCATTGCAATCAAGTTTGATTGAGACTTATATTTGTAATTTGTTATTAAAGTTAAAATAATGCTTGACCTAAAATAAGGGAGTGCATTGTAATATTTAATTAGAATAAATTAAGCCACCTCTATAACTTAGTATATGAATGCATTTTTATCTATACAGTTTTTCACAATTTTAGTACAAGATTCTTTTTTTAGTTAAAAGTTCTAGATCATGAATATGTACCCATCTTTAAACTGCGCTAATTTTGCATTTAGAATCTCTCATACATAGTGAAAGACTTGGCCACATACCAGGAGAGCTTACTGGATAATTCACTGAGTTGGTCTTATATAATTTCTTAAGTGTTGGTTACATAATGAGATAAAGATTTCAGAAACACTGTTTTACCCTTTTTGTTAATGGAGTTTATCTCCAGATGTGGATGACATTATGCCCTGAAGCTAGAACAGATATCAAGAGTTCTTTTTAATATAACAATCAATGCTAGAACTGTAATAACTGCCTTTGTTCTTTCCTCATGTACTTATGCAAATCTGGTAGTCAACAAAGAAGAACAAAAATGTATAGTAAAATAAAATAAAACTATTTGTGGTCTGCACTGACCTTAAGTTTTTGTGTTCTATTTTTTATATTCAATAATAAAATTGTTATTATTTCTTGAAAAATATTATGTAGCATCTTCTTTTGTGGTCAACTTAATCACAAATCTCATGCCCATTGGTTTTAAATGTACCTCTTAAATACCATACAGTCAGATATAAATACTTCCCAGCCTGATATGTATTAGAGCCATTTAAAATACAAGTAAATAACCTATTTAACAAGATGTGTATGCCATATTGGAGAAGGAATATTAACTATAATATTCAGATATTGCAATGTGTATCTAAACAAAATCTGGCAAACTTTTAATAAAATGTACAAGTCTGTTGTAAAAAAAAATCAGATATGTTACAAAACTATTTGTTCTCAAGATATATCTGTGAATTGATGACTTTAGGCTGAATCAGACTTTGACAAGTCAGAGTGCAAGGTGATGTTCATGTGAAAAATAAAAATGCTTTTGTCTATCACACAGTTTACATATTGGTCAGGTATAACCTCTAGTACTTCCAAAATGCATATTTCCAGTTTGTTTAGTATCACTGTATATTGTATATGGTACTTACTTTCCTCATCCATGAACTGTTGTTCAATCAGCAGTGCAGTATAAAATGAATAATTGATAACTCTGACAACAAATACATAATGCCAAATTAATTGGCATTCTGTAAAAGGACATTGAATGCATACTTTGACTCCTTCTCATGCATATAGTGATAAGAAAAATGTATGAAGCATAATACATTTTTTTTTGCAAGTAGTAAAGTGAAGTATCTAAATATAGTTGAGTAAGTTATAATAGAACAATTTTTAATATGCAAAGAGCAAGTAATGTGACAATTGTGGTGGAATGGGATGTATTATCAGAACTACAATTTGATAATGTGGTAAGCAAGATGTGGTGTCTTGTAACAGGTAAGAATCCATGAACACAAAAGTTAGTGGCAAAATTCATGTACTCCAGGCAACAGTATGCAAAGAAATCACGAAGGATCTCAGTCTGGAAATGAGGCCAACAGAGTATGAAAAACAGACACAAGTCACATTTCTGCAGTTGCTTTCTTGTCTTTCATCTGTGCAACTGTTGCATACCTCAAGCAGTTGGAGATTGAAACAGTATTCATGATATTCCATATAAAGATATAAGGTTAAGTTGCCAAATGCCACAACTATGGATTTCTGTGCAATTGGACTTTTAAAATAGGCACTGAGATACTGTCATCTTCATACACTAGTTTGATTATGGAAAGCATGCAGATATACCTTTGTAAAATAGTATTCAACATAATCAATAAGGAAACTATCTTGCAAGCCTGTTGTAAAGATGTACAGCCACAAGACAAGTCATGATAGGACATGATTTCATGAACTGTAACATGAATGGTGAGTCTCCAAAATCATTTGAATATAGTGTAGTCAATCTCTGTATAACTAAGAAACAAATTGCTAAAATGTAAATAAATTAATAACCAAAACATTAATCAACAACTTATTTCAAAAGTAGTAAATAAAGATTCATTAATAGTTCTGAAAGCAAACATCTACAATTTTAAGTAACAATAAACAGTTTGATCAGTGAAAGTACATGAAACTAACTAGTGACAAAAAACAAGATGCAGAATTCAAGTTAATGTTGTCAAACTATTGTCATTTATTCAAACCTTGGGAAATTATGACTTTGAAACTCTATTATGCATAAGTTAAAGAACAGACAACTGGCTACAACCTGTAGGTACAGAGCATACAGTAAGGAAGATTATTTTGCTGTGTAGAATGTGTAGGTTCAGAATGTAGCCATTTTCTTTCCTCCAGTTATTTAATTTCCTGTCTCGTAACCATTGTCTATCTGAATAAGGTTTTAGTTTCATTTCATTTTATAAAATTATCATGAACATGGGCACTTTCAAGTTTATATTTTTTGATAAATTCATCATGTTAGTTGAAACTACATTTTTTTTACATACAGTGTAACTGTGACATTGATATAGTGCCTAAGTAGTACTAAGTATTATATGTACATTTATACTAAATATTTTAAAACTTCAAGATAGAGCTTTGATCATTATTTTTTAGAGAGATTATAACTCATATATATCTGAATGGTGACCATTTTTTTCTCTGCATGACTTTTATAAAAAAAAGTGACCACAAGGCTTGTACTAGTATTAAAGCCTCAAACAAATTTCTTAAGTGCACTGTAGAAGTAAGAACAAATAGTAGTAAACATACTACCAGAAGATGGGTTAATGAATTTTGCAAAGTGGGACTGAAATTTAGCAAAAATGTACAACGTTTTACTTTGTCTTATGGTGCATATAATACATATTTCCTATATGTAGTTCAATTAATATGCTCAAGAAAATTGAAACATAACTATTGCTTGAAGATGAAAAGCCTCCTTTCATGTGAGAAATAGCCTGCTATAAGTACTACATTTCTCATCAACATGACTTAACAAATTAATGCCTCTGCAGTTTGTCCTGATATTCATTTTATGCTCTGTTTTATTCATTTCTCAACTCCGCATCTGTTGATTACATTAATTAATGGTATATGCACTCTCATTATTTGAAATCATTTATGTTGTTCATTTACTGTTGATGTGTTAATATATTGTTGATTTTAATTATTATTTTCTGAATACACTACATTGTTTATTTGATCATTGTTTGAGAATACATTATGATATTATCTTTTGGCCATTGGTTTGCAAAAACAGTGTTAATTGTTAAGTCTGTAAGCAAGTAGTTTTCATGTAATTTATACTTTGTTTAATTGTGATGTATGATTTTGTTGTTTTCAGTTATAACTGTTATTTGCAATTTGAATGGCTCTTAATTTGTATTTTTTACCACTCTCTGCAAAGATTGAAGCTGAAAATGTTAATGATTATGTTATGTTAAAAAGATAGTTAACTGTTACCAAGTGTGACAGTATTTCAGTAATATATTAAAAGTATATTTTCTATCAGTTGGTAACACAAACCTGAAGTGCATATATTAGCTTATGAGTTTTTCTCAAATAGTGAATTTAGCTAGTGAAAATTTTTCTTTTGTTTTGCACTTCTTTAATTAAGAATTTATGATTCATCTGTTTCTTAAGATTATGGGTTATTTACTGCAACATATCCCTATTAATGTTGTTGTTATTAGTTCTTATTTATGACACACACCAGCTGACCTGCTGAGAACAGCTTACTATATGATAAGCAATATATAAGAAGATTTATGAACACTTTGACTTTGTGTTTATTTTCCTCCACTTAATTTATTGTAGTTCCATAAGTATAATTTACACACACACACACATATATGTACTCATTTTTTCACCTTTATCCATTCTGTCCTTTGTTCTCAAACTCATACGCATGTCTATATAGGAGAAAGAAAGAGACAAAGAGAGGATTGTTATATTGTCAGAAATAGTCACTTAGTTTTAGCATGTAGTTTTGTTTCTTCCTGTTTTTCATGTATTTGTAGTTGTGTTTTTGATATCTTTGTTGGTCTAGCAAAGCTTTAAATGTGTTAATCAAAATGTATATGACATGGAAGTTTTTTTTACCTGGGAACTTGATCATTAAACAAATTAATACCAACAAATAATTACTGTATTTAACATTCAGAAATAAAATATAATGATCTGTCAGGTTTGTTAATTTTTTTTTCATTGTTTGAAATTATTAACCCACTTTCACATGAAATAGTACTAATCCAGATCTTGTCTTAAAAGTTGTTTCAGCTTATTTGTACATCATATGAAATTTCTGCCTTTGCTTTTTAACTATTTATAGCCTTAATTATTTCTAAAGATATTAGGTTTATGACATTTTTTTATTTGCAGCCAGGAAATAAATTCTATGCAGTTAACCCAGGAAGACCGTTGCCTATGTCTGATGTAGGCATACATTATAATGTTCGTCCAAGATGTTTTCCTGATAATTTGGAGAGAATATATCCATGTAAAGCGTAAGTATTCTTAAAATTAAATGTACTTGTATAAAGCGTCATAATGTAACCTGTTTTTAGCAGGTTAGGCTAAGTGTATGTCAAATTTTTCACACAAATGACGATTATATTTTACAAGTTGACATTACTTCTATCACAAAATTATGAATTAAAAAAGCATTAAATTTTATTAAAAATCTTTTCTGGTATTGGAATATATGAAATCCATTCTGCTTAACACTGTAACAAAGTTATATATAGATAAATTTTGAGTTTAATTAGTAATCTTTTATGAACTTGGCTTAATTAATATTAACTTTTGATCTAAATGAGCTGCCAACATAAATCAGAACAAAAAATCAACCTCATATTGAGTATAAGTTTTTAAATGTATAGTTCTTACTCATAAAGATTATAGTGTGTTGTTTCTTCAGTTGGACACTCTCGTATATTTTACCATCAGTTAAACATCAAATGCACACCCTTACTGTTAGTGATTTTTTTTACCCTAGTACAGATGAGTATGTATACTCCAATATACCTAATCACTCCAAATTTTGTTAGATCATACTATGTTGCTTAAAAGTTTATAATAAAAACTATTTTTGAACAAGATAAATAATTAATTGAATGAGCATGAACAGTTAGTTAGAAGAACACAGAATTACATTAAAAATCAAACAAACTTCAGTGCAGGAAGCTAGCAAATGAGTATCAGTTTATTTTTCATGCTGTACTGAACCATATAAACAGAAAATGAGCTGTTCATTTTAAATGGTGTTGCAATCCAATACTTCAGTTGATGTCCAGCCACTTAAGAATTTCTTTCATTATATGGTGTTTAAACAGTACTACTAGAAGGCAGCATCAAAAATAAAAAAATATCAAGTATAGTAGTCATTTTATAGCTTAAGCTTATGTTGTTGTAACATTTGGGCCATTAATAAGGAGCTAAAGTGAAAAAATTAGAGATTTAATCAAGTGAAATAATGTCAAGGTTGAAACAATGTAAGGATTCATTATATAGTAGTTAATGTGTTGAGTCACCTGAATCATATATCACCTAGTGATCTGTGACATAACTATTAACTAACTAATTTATTAATAAAACATGAATGATTAATACTGAAGTGAAGGTATATAGTCATTACACCATAACTTTTAGGTTATTGGAAATAAAAAAGTAAATATGTATTAATAATCTTTATTATCTTGTTTTCACTACATGTGTTTCAGTCTTTCATTTAAAGCAATGTGTGTCATCATGATGTAGAATTATACAGAGGGTTGTGTGCATTGTATGAAACAATTTTGAATATGCAAATCGGCAGGTCACATGACAACCCACGTATAATAAAGTTATGCTGAAGCTACATTTTGACATTGTTTGGCATTTCATAGATAGTATGATGCTACTAAAAATTAATTGCTTTTGGAAAAGAAAAATTTTTTAAGAAAAAATATTTTATGACAAAAATATTTATACACCCAGATTATAAAGATGTGTTTTCAGATTGGGAATTCATAAATGCTTCTCACCTCTCTACAGAATAGATAGCTATTACCTTGCATAATAATGTCTACTGCACCAGTCTGTGATACAAACGTCATTAGACAATGGCTGTTCATCAGTAAAAGGCTACAAGATCCTCCATGTGCAGTAAACCCATGAGCACTTGCTCATTCTTTCCTAGGCACTTCTTCTCTTCAGATGTATTTCTTTGTTTTTGGAATTACAGAGTGTTTTTGCATTGTGTTTGTTATTTTAACTTTCAGTTCCAAACCTATTAGCGTGAATGTATGAAAAGTAACATACAGGTCAATGACCTACTAACAAGCTATAAATACTTTGGCAATTGTCTTGTAATTCACTCCTGAAACATGTAGAGTCATCAACTTTTTGAAGGCCATAGATAGGCCTAAATAAAATGTTTTTAATTGTGTACCAGTTTAACTTTGAATATTATTTATGATTTTAGTATCATTTATTTTTTGTCTGAACAATGTATATATCTGTCAATTCACACTTATTCTGTGTTAAATGTTCATAGTTCATGGCTGTAGTGATTCAATTTTATCATTTCAATTTTTATTTTCAGGCGTAGTCTTTATTATTTTTTGTAAGTCTATTAATTTTTCTTTAATAGGGCTCAGTTTTAGGACAGTTTAGTCAACTAAATTCAAATTACCTAAACTAAAATTTATAAAAGCATAACTGTTTCATAGATTGTTCCATCTGTGGATTCACATTCATGATAACTCCCAAGGTCCTGATATACCACAACTGGAGTCATGTACTACATTTTCTTTGGCAATTGGTGTCACTGTGACAGCCAGTGATATTACTGCCACTGTGCACTAGGTTGTTGGTTTCATTCTACCTTTATCTTAGAACAGGATTCTCAACCTCCTGCTCCTGTTCGCTTCAGCTGAGCCTGCCCCATCTTTAGACAGTTTTGACCAACTATTTAAACCAATACTTTTGCTCTGGTTCCTTTCTTCCTGATAAGGATTGGGTAAATCCACTTTTAATCTTTATTGCTCTGATTACACAGGAAATGTCGTTCTTTCTCTGTTTTCTCTTGTTTTTGTTTGTTTGATCTCAGACTACTTTGTTGCATGAGTCTCCTTCTTCTGGTTACATTATCTTCCACCCCTCCATTGATGCTTATTTTTATGGTGATACTTTTTTGTCTTAACTTTGCACTGAATTTCAGCTTCCTCAATATTGAGAATCTTGTTCATTGGTCAAGATTCTTCTTCTTTCCTTGAGCTTCAGTCCCTTGAATCTCTTCTTTCAGCTTGGGGATTACTATCTTCGTTATTGTCTCTCATTTGCCCTCAGTCTACTTGTCTTCATCTTGCTATCTGTACATATTTCACCTTCTTTTGGAGGCTGTACATTGTGAACCAGATATATTCACTGGGAACAATCACACCTGCCTGTTCTCCACTTTGGCCTCATTATCTTCTGCTGCAGTTTCACAGTTAATTTGGTTTCATAGTTTCTGGGATTTGCTTGGTCAGGATACCTTACTTTCTGGAGTCTCATCTCAGAGACCTCCTTATGGCACCTTCACTATAAGACAAGATTTTTGAGGATGTTCTTTATACCTTGAAAACATGAATAGCCATCTGTGCTTACTTTGTTTTCTTGCTTTTCTTGTCCAGGGAACCCCAACAGGTTCCTTGTGTTTAAAAGGCTTGTAGGTCACCACCCTTCTGCTCCTCATCCTCTGTCGAAAGTCTGGCCATTACAGATATGACTTGTTTCTGAAGCTTCCCATAAACTCCAGTTCAGTGGAGCTAAGTTCTTCCACTTTGTGCACTTGTGGACTCCCTTTACAGCAGACCTTTGGGTCACACAGGTGCTTTCTCAAAAGTTTTTTCTGTCTTTCCACACTTAACCTCCTATTTGTCCCTTTCCAGTTGTCTTTCCATCCTCACCCATTACTCTACTTCCATCTTTTAATTAATTATTCCCCAAAACACAGGAGATTGATGATCTGTTAGAGACCTCTTGTCCTTGAGCCAATTTTTTGTCATTCTTAGATGGTTTTCTCAATCTCTGAAGTGGGGGTGCTCACCTGGGCTGTGTATGCCCATTGTTGATGTTTCAGATACATTTCTCCAAATACCAATTTGTCTAGCTGTGTGTAACTTTTGTCAGTTCATCTGTGACAGATGTTTCAGTTCTGGGCTCTGCTATGGCCCCATACATTATAACTCGGACCTGTAGGGCATTTGTACAAATAATACATTTGTTGGGCCACCATTTCCACTACTCTATAGACAACTGGCTCTTTCTTGCTCCATCTAGAGAAGCATCCTTGGCTGTGACCTCATTTCTTCTTTATGAGTCATCTTCCTTGGATGGGCTGGTCAAGATCCACAAGTCCATCTTGACTCCCACCCAACACCTGATTCACTTGTGAGTCTTTTTCAGTTTGTTTATGGGATGATCTTAACATTATCTTTTACCTCTTCAAGACATAGATTTCTGATTACCAAGACTTTCTTGTCTCCTTCTCTTCCTGCTTGAGAGGTTCTGTCTCTTTTGGGGACTCTTGCTTCTTTTAAATCTCTTGTTCCTCGAAGAGGTGCCCATATGTATCCTGTTCAGTGTATTCTGGACAGTTGGTGGGATATTTCCAGAAGTTCACTGGCTTATTTTATTTCTCATCCTCCATTTATTCAGCCAACAGTCTAAGATATAATACCTAGTTGAACAGTCTCACAATCCTCCCACTTGTGTAATTCAGAGTTCTTTTGACAATACCTTTTGCTTTTCCACATTTATTGGACAAAGAGTATTCTCTGCATGAGAAGTATGCAATGTCCCACTAAATGTTACCCTACTAGATCCTAGGTCCCCCATCTCAGCTAATAGGTGACATTTCAGGAGATTTCTATTTCTGATGCTATAATTTTAGAAAGGGTCTCATCTTTACAGTTTCTTAGTCTACACTGGTCCCTCTGTGGAGGACATACAGTTCCTTATATGCAGAGAGAGGTAAAGTCTTACATGCAGTCTGATCCTTTTTCTCCTGTTGGCTCTGAGGCTGAGTTTGAAGTTGATCAAGGGCAGACTAGTGAAAATTTAGACTTTGTTTTTAGATACTACTTTTCCAGCACCTTCCTTTTGCTCAGACAGCTACTCTTGAACTTGAGATGAACATTCTGCCTCCTGCATCATTTTTACAACTAGTATGCCATGTTTGAAATGTTTTAGTATTTCTCCTGTAGCTTATAAATCTTCACATTTTTTATCAAGAGAAACAAGTTTGTATGATTACCTAGTTCTTCCACTTTCACCAGGTATTGCTGTCCATGCAAAGAGATTTACATATCTATTGATAGTAGGTGTTGCCATGCCTTGTCCTCTTCAGTGATTGGATTAGCATGTCTTTTCTTTCCATCACCTGGAGAACCCTTATTTGGACTGTCAGAGGTGAGACAGTTGGATGTTGCTTGCCTTCCCTTCTTGGTTCTGGTGGCTTGCATGTGACATTCTGTAACTTTCAGGTTTGGTACCTTGGCCTGTAACTCCGAGTTTGGTTTGTTGCATTCTGTGCTTCTTTAGATTGAGGTGAAAGCTTATCTACTTGGGTGTTGCTTGCCTTCTATTCATAATTCTGGTGGTTTGACATGCAACATCCTGTAACTTTCAGGTTGGGTTCCATTTTTATCATATTCCTATTATACAGTTATATAATATTGCAGTCCTTGTGCCCTAGCCACTACACCTTGGATCTAGCTTTGTGTCCATAGCCCTGTAATTCCAAATATAAGACGTCAAACCTTGTCTGTGGTGTGGTTGAGGCCTGGATGAATCTCATGATAAAGAACGTAAACTCTGTAGCCGATTGGCTTTTACCACCCACATTTAGATTTCAAGTTATCTGGGCAAGGAGCAAACCTCTTACAGAAGTAGTACAGACCCCAACTAGTGTGCTTTATTATATCCCAAATATGCCCACCTGATTTTCTATGCAGATGTTTTCTGTGTAGATTTTGCCCTCACTGGCCACTTCACCTGGTCAATGTGAGATTCAAGCTAAAGTGTGAAAGATGGTAAATGTGTTTCGGAAGTTTACATTTTCCTATACCAAAAATGTATTTACGATAATACTTACTTCACTCACACTATTTCACCCTTCCTCCCCAGTCTAATAAAATGAATAAGAAAGAATAATGTGGAGCTCATATATAGATCGGGTATAGAGGGTGCACTAACATAGGTGGAGAGAGAGTCACAAAATTGAGATCAATAGGGACAATATAGTGGGGTATAAAGACTGGAGCAAGTGAGGTAGAATTCATACCAATGTTTAGATGGGCAAAGAAGAGAATGTTTCATAAGGATAAAGCTAAAGTGTGAGAAGAGGTAAGTATTATAGGAAATACATTTTAGGTATAAGAAAATGTAAATATATATATATATGTATACATGAGCATACGCACACATAAAGCATTAAAATAGTACAGTTGAAAGATGTTGTATTTCTACAGTTAAAACTAATGGCATTTCTGCCATGCTAAAGAAGGAAAAATATAATTCCCTTTTGCTCTTACTGTACATTTCATTAAATATTGCTAAAATAGACCCAGATATTAACAGCTACATTTACCAAACCTCTGTATTCATAACCTAAACAAGAAAGGAGAAGAATAAAAGCAATATTGAAAATATTATATGTATAACAGGTTAGAATATGAGAGACAAAAAATTAGAAAGTAGAAAGAGGTAGTGAAAGACATCATCTGTGTACTAGAGCTAAACATATTGTGTTTCTGTTTACTGAACGTCTCAAAACCATGAGACTTCTTACTAACTGAAATAAAATAAATGCACTAGTTGAAAATTATAAAACTGTATAGAAGCTTCCAAATAGAAAAACTTGGGGACATCTTCACTGGTAAAAAATTGGAATGTATGAATAGAGCAGATATAGGAATGTTTGGCTTTTGTTTATGATGCTGGAACTTTTTCATTGGTGTTCAGACTATGAAGAAGAACTTTGTACACCTCTAACTTTTCAGACAATCCTTTCCTGTCATAAGGATTATTAACTTGCTGTTAATGAAAAACATGGACATACAACGTAGACAAGTTCAGTTTCACACTTACATTATGAGTGATAACTCCAAACGAAGAAATATACACATACTAGCAGGTGCCCATTGAAACAATTCAAGCGTAATTTTCCTAAAAGTAGTGATGAATAAATATAAAATGTGCAGTCAACCCAATCCCTTGAAGCGAAGCATATATGCAATATGATTGTCTAGTGGGCTGTTTACAACTGTCTTTTTTCATTTTGTTTGTTAGTTCAATAATAAAAATTGCATTGGTTTTGTTTTTACGCAAAGGAAACTGAATACAATGTAATGTTGGTAAAAATGTATGGTTTATGATGCAGCGGGTGCATCCAACACATTAGAGCACTTAGGTTTGCTAAGTAGCCAATGGGATTTTGTCTGCTGGATGCCACTATTCCTTTGTATTTTACTGAGTACAAGGAAAGACTGCTATGGAAGGGAGTGCTTCCTGACAGTTGTCATTTCTATAAGAAGTGTCAAAGGGAAGGTATTCAATTCAAATCAAAGTATTTGATGTGGTGTAATAAAATTATGCATGAATATAATACTGATATGAATAAAAAATTATATATATATATGAACTGAACAACAACAAACACATACTCTGACATGTTCCTTTCTTTATGCATATTTTCCTTTCACCATACAGTTAAATAAAACAACATTAAACAAAACCACCAGTAGATTGATATCCTCAACAGATATTGCTCAGAGCCAGATTTGACATGCACAGTTCTATAATGTGTTAAGTATTAGGAGTTGTATAAGCAATACACTTAGGTAGTTGGTAAGAATGATGAAATGTGGTAGACATAACTGAAAGAAATAACAATGATCTAAGAACTCCAAGGAATATGTGTTTTTTATTACTCTGCATTTTTATTTACAATTTCATTGGAGGCATACACAAGCTTAAAATACAACATAAAATACAAGCTTTTTGTTCCAAAACATAAAACATTCTAATTTGTGAGATTTGAGTATATAGTATTCCACATCATGATATTGTTCTAAGATTTACACACACACACACACATGTGTGTGTATATTGCTACCATTTTCTTAGAAAACAAAAAAGTGTAATAAGATGAAAATTTTGAATTAAAAGTCTGTATATGTATGTGCTTGTATGCATATTTTCCCCACATCTTATGTTCATTATGCATTAATATATAGTCCTTCTCACCTACAAACACTAATAAACTGAAAGATAAGTTATAAGGTGTTAAAATGATCACAGTAATCTTTAACTCTGTATGTCGGTCTTATAACTGTGTGCTTTGTGTTAAGATTTACAACTAATAAATAAGCATATTGTCTAGGCCCGGCATGGCCAGGTGGTTAAGGCACTCGACTCACAATCTGAGGGTCGCGGGTTCGAATCCCTGTCACACTAAACATGCTCGCCCTTTCAGCCGTGGGGGCGTTATAATGTGACGGTCAATCCCACTATTCGTTGGTAAAAGAGTAGCCCAAGAGTTGGCGGTGGGTGGTGATGACTATCTGCCTTCCCTCTAGTCTTACACTGCTAAATTAGGGACGGCTAGCGCAGATAGCCCTAGTGTAGCTTTGCGCGAAATTCAAAAACAAACAAACAAGTATATTGTCAAATTTAAAAGATAATATATAATCACACAGCTATATTTTCTTTTGCTATTATCTGTCTATTGTTGTCTGTCTACTGCTTCCCGCTTGTCTCATGCTATTTATATCTTTATTACATAGTTGTTTGGCCACTTTCTATATTCTCGACACCAATTAGTTATTAACAAGACCTACAGTTGTCTGCTTTTAACTCTTTTTATGACAAAACTTAAAAATAATAAAACATTCACTCACAAATATAAATTAATCACTAATATTTAAACCAAACAGTCTTTTATATCATGACACTGACTTACTCTATCCATGCAGATGAACCATATGAAAGATTAAATAGAAAATTGATTAATATTTAAATATTTTTTTGTATAAGTTATATTGATATAGACAAAACTATATCTTTTGATTATTTTTATACATTTTCAAACTAATGTTTCGTATTATGCTATTGATATCATGCATAATAATATGTTTGTCTATAAATGCCAAGCTTTATTATATGCATTCCATAAGTTTACTTAAGTCTAAAATATGGTAGATGACCTGTGTGTCACCACAGCACCAAGCACCCACTATGTATGGTTTAAAGACTGATTTTTTTTCATATTAAATTTTAGTGGAGCTGAGTATGTTTTTATAAATGGATATCAGGATATATTTGTTTCTGTTCTCTCTTAGTGATGCAAGTATTCCAACACTGGAGACTGTAATTAACAACCATAATCCTGCAGAACATGAGAAGCTGGCTAAATTGCTTGAAAGCCAGATACTTTTTGAGGAGTCTGCGTCAAAGAGTACATCGACACAGGAAAAGGAATACCCAAATCCAGAGACTGAATGCAAAGCTCCCAGGTAGCGTGGGAACTATTTGTCTATGATATTTATTCATGTAAAATCTCTATTTTGATACTTTGCTTTTAAATCAATCATATCTTTAATGTTGAACATTTAACTTTTATATTTTTGTATTATATATAATTATATAATTTCTTAAAATTTCAGTGATAATTCATTTTACTCGTAGCCATTAATTACATTACAATACATTGTATGTTAAGTGGAATTATACATTAACTGGGCAGGCTTATATGTAGTGACCTGGTGGAAGTAAATGATGAAGACAAGTTTCAAGTGACACAAGCAGATCAGAATATGGACCCATTTTCCCTTGATGTTATGTCAGTCCATCACAGGTTAGCTACCAGCTAACATCTGGGTAGACTGGAACAAATTGGGGTAAAGTGTCTTGCTCAAGGACACAACAGCATGACATGGGCCAGCTTCAAACTTGCAAATCATGCAAATATGAGTCCAAAGTGTGAAGCCACTGAACCATGCTGCCCCTCATTAAACCCAACTCTAAAGTGTATAACCATAAGCTTACATCATCTCAAGTTAACTGATGTCTTCTCATTGAAGAAAATTTCTGTAGCTTTCAAATATACATAATTTAATCCTATGTGCCTGAGTAGAGGCAAAAGTGCTCATATAAAAAAAGTGCTCACAGAGTTACTTTCAAATTTTAATATTGTATAAGTTTTAATTTCTCAATTTCAGCCCCTCGACG